GTCTAGGCTTCTAGAGGGTTTTATTCGTGACACTACAGGTGATGTTCTGTTGGCTACTTGATGTAGGTTGCAGGGCAGATTTGTAATTGATAAAAGGATCAATTTTTATAGCTTCTCTACACTAAAAAAATACCTCTAGGAGCCTGCCAAGGGCTATCAAGATAACACTTTTATTGCTTCGATAGGTGGCTAGTTGGCTACACTAGAATCAATTGCTACGGCCTGATCATACGACACCAAAGCTCTCTCATATTTATCCTGCTTATACTTGTCATTTCCTAAGGATCCAATTTACTCAGTCAACTCTGAAGGTGTATTTCATCAGTATTGTTCCTCCGTAGAATATTTCCCATAGTAACATTAATAATTTCCAAAGTCACATTGACCATGGTGTTACTGTTAGTAGTAACACAATTCTGTTTCAAGCTATTGATTTGAGACAACTATAGTATGTTTTCCGAAGGAGCTCGTGGAATTCCAGCCTCGCTTTGATCACCTAACGACTGTGTCATTCCTAAATTATATTACCTGAAGAAGAGGAAGAAGACGTTGTGGAAATTCTTGCAGCATCAGAAAGTCTTCTACTTGATTATGATTATGTGAATCAGACACCTCAGACTTGCCACATTATACTTTACAGTTAGAGTAACTAATTTTTCAATCACAACTTTTTTAGATTTGCAATTAGCTACTGCTGTAGCCTCAACTGGCTTACCATGATCTCTTTTCTCAATCATATTTACTGTTTGTAGTCAAAGGAAGAGAACAGGACCGAGGACCTTCTAGAGCAAATACTACAACGTGACAATAAGCCGCCTATGAAGCCACAACCACTGTTAGAAGACTCAACCATGTAAGTACTGATGGTTTTTCGGGTGTAGTGGTTCTTGACATTTCAAGTCTTCCTTAATCAAATTTGCATGTTTGGTTTGTAAAAAAAAAAAAAAAAAAAAAAAAAAAGTAAACCTATTAGCTCAAGTGGTAGAGCACTATGCGGATGCATAGAGGTGTAGGTTCGATTCCTACATAGGTTACCTCTAAAAGTAAATACAAAGCATTTAAAGTTATAAAAAAAAACCTCAAAAGTAAATTAAAATAAGTAAAAAGTAAAACTAATTAGCTCTAAGATTTACAAATGATGAATTGGGTTTGAAGGCCTCTATATATCATTATATCGAAAAACTTTGGGGTTGTCATCTTATTTCTAGATTGGCTGAGGACCTCATCTCTATTTCTACCTCCAAATATCTCTAATGTAAATCAACTAAGAGAGTAATATATGAGTTTGAGGTTAAAGTGAAGGTTTTCACATTAAAATTTAATAAATTAATGTAAAAAGTAAATAATTTTATTTTCACACAACGCAAATGATCAACAATGTCACACTGTTGATCAAGGAGAAACTTTCCATTATTTTGACATCCTTATTCCACATATCACATATTAACTCAAAAGTAAATCATAATGGGTTAAAAGTAAATAAAAAGAGTTAAAAAGTGAATCAAAATATCATTAGAGTGGTTAAATAATATTGACTCAAAAGTAATTAATATTTACTCAAAATTAAATAATGTTTACTAAAAAGTAGATGTATCTCAAAGGTGTATATACGAATTTATATTTGCATATGAATTAGATGACTGGTGCAATTCCTCCTCAGTTAGGAAGGCTTAGGATGATGAATAGCTTACTTCTATAGGGGTCTAGCGGAATACTCTGACAGGTAGTATTATGATTCAGATTTCTAAATGTTCAGCATTGGTTGTGCTTTAATTATTAGTTAACAATTTGTTAGGGTGGCAGATTCCTGTTGAATCGGGGAACTAGTGTTGTTACAACAACTTCATCAGTCAGTTTGAAAATTCACTAACAATTTCTATCCCTTGGGAGATGAGCAACTATACTAATAATCTGACTTTTTTGTAGTTGGATAAGAATCCATTGACACGCTCAATTTTTCTCGACAGATAGGTGATTCAATGATTATGCATCGTATGTCAAAAGTAAATAAAAAATAATAAAAAGTAAATTGAAATATTCTATAAGTAAATAAAAAAAGTTCAAATGTAGAGTAAATAAAAAATAATAATTATATAATAAATAACCTATGTGGGACTCAAACCTACATCTTTTGTGCAATTACACAATGCTCTACCGAATGAGCTAGTAGGCTATTATATAGTAAGAATATTAAGTAAACGCATTTGATAATTTTGACAAAAGTAATTAAAAGTACTTAAAAGTAAACAAAAGTAAAATAAAATTCTTAAAAAAAACAAAAACATCTCAAAATATGTCATGTATAGATCAACCATATTATGGTCTATGTATGATACCTTGCACATCAGAACATCTGAACTGAAATATGCTTTTGTATGGTTAGAAAGAGATGTTAAAGTCCTTGTAAGACTTAAAGGATGCATTAGACTTTCCTAATATACACACCTTAAAATAATAATCTTAATATCATGTAATTTCAAACTAACATGCATATTTTTAAAAAAAAAAAAAAAAAAAAAAAAAACAAATAAGATTGAACCTCTGACATCAAACAAATAATCACATATCATAGTATCATACTAAACCACCAAAAAGATCTCGTGAAATGACATGAATAGACAATATATGGTGTGAAATGACATGAACAATCTAAAAATGTCATCAATCTAAGTAATCAAGGATCAAACAAGCAACAACTCTATAGGTTGGCACAAAAAAGTGTGTAGCATTAATCATCCAAAAAATAAATGACATGAACAATGAAATAGACAATAGATATGGTCGGCACCCAATTCCATACATTCTTCATTCCCTGATTTCCCACCAGAATTAAGTACTATCTCTTTTTATCGATCAATTCCATTAATCAACCCAAAGTTGGAATTGTTGTACAATACTACCCATTAGAGTGAGGCACAACTAAAACAACAACAATAGCATATGAAGCTATGATATAGACAAACAAAAAAAATTAAAATAGGAAAAAGATCTTACGCAATTGAAGTTTAATCAGATCCCATGAAGAACTAAACTAAAATTCCTGCAAAAAAACCCCAATAACAGCAATCACATCCTACATTATTGCAGAATTGCAAGTGCAACACTCATATCTATCAAATTATCAAATACAAAACTGATGAAATCAAACAAATCACAAACAAATTTCAGATATTGCTAAATTAAATCCAAAGATTAATCATTCTTCCACAATCGAACAAATTTAAACCTCAATTTGGTATAAAATCAATCTAAAACCAATTACCTCAATTTAAATTATTGACCAGGAGCTAAAGCTCCGAAATCAAATCAGTCGGCTAACCAGAAGATCCATCTCTTTCTCCCGTCTCTCATCATTCAACATGATTCTTCAACAATCTAATAAAAAAGTTTATCGTTTTCGCTTGATTAAAAATAGCAAAAACCCTAATTTAAAAAAAAAAATTGAATAAATCAAAGCTCAAAAACAAAAATCATAATTGTTGGAATAAAAAGAACAAAGAAATTAAAATCAAAATATATAACTTGTCCAAAAATGGATATAATAGCAACAAAGATCGAATTTTTTTTTTTTAAGAATTTGATTGTAGAAGAACATAAAGAATCGCAGAAGAGAGAAGAGAGAATTGGTATAAGAGAAAGAAAGTACGTGTGAGGAAGGGAGAGAAATAAAAAAGAAATCAGGAAGATGATTAGAGCAACTACAATGATTGTAGCTAAGGACTTGTTTGCAATTTCAATAATTTCCTATCTACTAGCTTGATCATTGGAGCTAGAAAACTCAATTAGCTTAGATTAGCTAAGCTAATTTGCTTGGGAATTAAACTTGCCAAAATAAAATACTCATTGTACCAATCAAGCTCTTTTTATGTATTTTTATCCAACAATTACTACAAAGCTGATAGCTAGCCATTGGAGCAAAAAGTAGCTAACATGATGATTAGCTTAAAAGCTTAAGTGGCATGGCAAGTTAATTGTAAAATTAGCTTGTCATTGGAGTTGCTCATAGAGGTAGTCATTCATATCGTAAAATTTACTAATTTGCCATTAATGAAGCGGGTGGAATGTTAGCCGTTAGATTAAGCGTGATCAACGGTCCAAATGAGTTCTCAGTTCCTATTATAGACCTAGGTTCTCACGTGATCTTGATTATATATATATATATATATATATATACTAGGTTAGAACCCGTGCAATGCATAGTTTATATAAAACCTATTTTTAATTTGTACATTTTAATAATAAAGCGCTATTATTCATGAACATAAATAAGAATTACGTACATTTTGTAATTTAAAATCTTTTATTTTCATCAAAATTATGATTATAGTATCTGTTCGACGTCGTCTAATTCAAAGTTCAATGTAGGAGATTATTTATTAGTGTGGTATTAAAAAAACTGTTTCAATTTCGCTACTACAAAAAGCATGTTTTTTGGACGCTTTTTAGGCCTTTTTTCGACGCTAAAAAGCGTCGAAAAAATATTTCTCGACGCAATACGTGAGTCGAGAATTTTGAGGGACACATAAAAGCGTCGAGTATCGACGCTTTTATGTGTCCAAACTAATATACGAAGTGTCGGAAAATACTTATTTCGCGCATTATCCCAAATTTGTGTAGTTTTTTAGCGACGCTTTTACATGTCCACATACTCAAATTTAGCGACGCGTTTTGTTGTCTTGCGTTTATTCGTGTCAGCCTATGGTATGGCGGGAAACTCTTGAAATGTAAAAATGTGAAAAAATATGTAGACATTAAAAAGCGTCTAGAACTTTTTTTAAGCTTTTTTTTTTCCTTTTATTAAATTATTACCATCATATATACATTATAGTTATTTAAATTTATCATAAATTAAATTAATAACATTAAAATTAAAATAAACAAATATTCTATATAACTAAATCAGATTTTAAAAAACAATAATTAATCAACAATAATAAGAGTGCGTAGTTAATTACCAAATTTATAAAAGAAAACATCAACACAGTTAATAAAAATAATAATAATAAAAAGTCGCATATTATAGTAGCTTGTCCCTAAATAATACATCACTAATATAAATAAGACTAAAAACCAAAACATATAGATGATGGCGTTATAGACGATTTAGTCGCTTGTTTTAATGCTCAAGTGTCCCGGCCTATTCTCTTGTTGCACCTACATTGCCTTTTCCAATCTTCAAAAAAAAAAAAAAACAAAGTATAAATTAGTACATTACACAATGTAGGCTTATACACACACACACACATAAGCTCTGAATTTCACACACTCACAAGCATTTTGAATTTCACACACACACACAAGCATTACATAAACGTCTTTGAGAATGCCAACACTTACAGCAACAATCTTATAAACGTCAGGCTGGTAGTCTTATAACAACAATCGTATAACAGCAGTCTTACACACACACACACACACACACACACACATACACACACAAGCATTACACAAACATCAGGCTGGCAGTCTAAGGGGGATGTCAAAGGATGGGGCCACCTCAGAAAAGAATTGGGGATTATTTAATGCAAATGGGAAGCCAGTCTATATCTTGTGTCTCACTAAGTCTGGGTCTATTTTGTCTAATGATACAACAAACCAGACTAACTGTACTACAAGAGATGGAGCTGACAAGAGGATTGTTCCCCTTTATTACAGGCGAGCCTTGCTATGAGCCTGATAATGTATTTGCTCATGCTACTTATGCTTTCAACACTTATTATCAGAACACAGGAAAAGCACTCAACATTTTAAATAAAGTTCACATTTTTGCTTAGTAATTATACTAGTGCCTGAAGAAATATAAGAGAATCCTAATCATCTATCGAGATAGGATACTATCAAATAACATGTGCACAAAGATGACCTTATAGGACTTGAAAATGCTAATCATTCACATCATAACAGTATAATCAGTAATTAATTGAAAACCATATGTGCATTTTATTTTAAAAAGATCAAACTGCCAAGAAAGAAACATTAATGACTTCCCTCTGAAGACAAGTTTGCTGACATGTTGGAAGCTGACATGATAGCTAAACAAAGGGAAACAGATTGGAAGTTGACATGTTAGCTAGAAAGTGCTGAGAAAAAACAGGACAAAACCATTTGGTTGGATTCAAGCTCTTTAGGTAAAGTATTCATTCTCCCTTAAAAACTCAAGAGCTATTTCTTATGTAATAAATGAATCCCCAAATCTCATTATATTGCTAATCTATTCTATGAACATTATCAGAGTGGCTCACAATATCTAAAGCTGCCTCGATCTTTGCTCTTGGTTCAAGTCTATACATATACATATATGACATTCAATGGCAAGCAAATGTTGTAATGTTAATTACTCCCTTACTAGTGAATTAATGTTAGCTTGTTATAATGAAATAGAGCTGGTAAGGTCACGTGCATAGGCCAATAGCATAATATTGTGATGATGAAACCCAAAACAGGCAAACAACAAGGAAATAAGAAGGCTAAACAGCAGTAAGCAGCAACAACTAGCAAATAGAAAATAGCAACAACAACACAACAACATTATTGAGCAACAACAATAGCAAGGTGGAGCGACAACAGTGTGGTCAACATCCTACAGTAACAACAACTTTGTTATAATTTTGATGTTATTGGTGTTTCGAAGAAACGAGGGATTTTGAGAATTACCAATGAAAAAAATGTATAGATTGGTAGAGAAGCATTCCCAGGACAATACATAGGATATTTCATTCATATACCACACAATTCGTTTCTATTTCCCACTGATCTAGCTCAAATTGAGTCATAAAATCTTAAGTATACAAATAGCAAATTCAGAAGATAAAATACAAGGGAAATAAAGAGCTAGAGAGAGCCAAAATGATAACATGTACATCTATAAAATAGTTATAGCACAATCTGATGACTACAAATTATATGCTAAATATCACGGTTCAAGCACACGACAAGATACGAAACACAAGAGAGATAGACTATGGATAAAAGGACCATCATTAGATGGATAATAGACCATGGTCGGCTAAAGATAGAAAAAAAAAATGACAATGCTGAGCTACTTTTGCTTAACTCTTAGACAACACAAACACATGTAGACAAAACGGAAATCATTCTAAGGTCACCATGATACTAGACACGTCAAGGCTTCATGTAAATGATAAGGAAGACATATTCAACTTCATGAAATAGAGAGCTTGCACCCATAAAGTACTATACAATAATAAGAAAATCATACCACCAGCAAGACGATGATTGATTCCTTTTAAAACTGTTAGGATAAATACCTGAGAAAATACAATTAGAGATAGAGGAGTACTTTGTAGCAACTAGCAACTGCTATCTATATATAGAATTCTCCACTCTTACCTTGCACCACAAACTATTACTTAACAAAAGAAATATCTAGAGTACATATCCAACATGAATTTAACCACTAAATCATACTTCGTAACAACTGCTAGCAATGGATCCTTAGAGGCATGGTTTGCTTAGTTGCAGATTATGTAAACCAAAAACTTATGGTTGACAATATACATAAATATATACCTTAGACTTATACAATTCAATCCTCTGTGACTTGAACAAAAGAAAAGGCAATTCAAGATGAGAAAAGACATTGCTCAAGCAACAAAAACTAGTAGAACAGAAATCTTGAAATTGATTTATGCATTTTAATTGTTACAAAGAGAATATTAAAAAGTTTATGTAGCATAAATTGCAACTTAGTGGATTATTGGAATGTTTTTGTTCTAAATGAAGTATTTTTTCTGCAATGATACCATACTACTTCATTTATTCTAAGTCCAAAAAACATAAAAAAAATATCATCAGCTTAAGCAATTGCAACTATTCTATTTGAAAATCTAATCACTAAGAATATTCAAGAATTTATATATAAATCGCAAGTTATTACACACAACCTAGGGTTAATATCGCAAATTGAATTAATAAATAATAATATCCCAAAAGAAACATGATAATTAAATAAAACCATCATGAGGAACAGAGTGCAAACCTAAGAGGAAAATTGAATCAGGAGCTTATTGAAATTGGAATTTCAACATAAAGGATTAGATCTGATCGAAATTAGGGTCTCCTTTCATATAATTTAGCCAAAACCCCTACAAATTAAGAATTCAAAACAAATAGCCATAACAATAATACAATTGAAACAAAATCTGAAATAAATTTGAAGAAAATACCTTTTTTTCTTTCGGATTTTGAAGAAAATACCTTTATTTCTTTCGGATTTTTCTAGAATTTTATTTGAACAGTAGCACAAAATCGAACTCAATAATATGTATAAACAAACCCGAAAATATCAATTGCTCATGAATCAAACCCATTTCAGACCAAATTTTCGTGAGATTATTGTGAAATAAACTCTATAAACAAGCTATAGGAATCGATTCGAAAAAAAAAATGAAGCCCAAAAGGAAAGGATGTACCTCAATTTTATCGGCAGCGAGAAGACGAAATTAAACACCATTGAAGGCTGGCAGGAAGAGAAAATTAGGCAAGTAAAATTATTGATGAGCGGTGCAAAGGGAACGAATTGAAGATCTGACATTGAAATCCATGATTTTCTTAATCACTTTGCAGAATTTCGTAAGATGAAGGAGAGATGAATAGTTAGGGTTAAGATGTGACAGCTCAAAGAAGTCAAAAGGGTTTTCAAGTTTAGTACTATAGGCGGTTTTATTATTTCCGAAATTTCGAAATCATGGGTAGAGCCAATTAAACTCACGAGCCCTGCACGTGTTGTTCTCAACGCTTATTTATGTCGAAAATCAATCTAGGCGTCGAGAAAAACAAGCACATTAAATTACCACCTGACGCCCTTGCCTCATGTAAGAACCCTCCTCTATATAAGAACTCAATCTTATATAAGAACCAATCTCAGCCGTTTATCAGTTTTGATCTAACCATTTAAAAAGATCCTTTAGTAATGGCATTTTCGTAATTGTTTACAATTTTTTTTTCACCTTTTTAACCAAATAACCTACTACTAAAAGGCTATTCCTTCTCTCTCCTCAGCATCTTCTCTTTCCTCAAAACTCTAGAATACCCAAATTTTATCATCTTCATCAACGAATTCATACTTTGGTAAGCTTATCAATTCTTAAAAATTCTGATTTCATTTTATTCTTTGATATTTACGATTTTTTTTCCAGATTTTCAAGCGGTTTTTTTTATTTTTTTTTTGCGATTTTTAGATGCGAATTTATTATTATTATTACTATTATTATTTTATTTTTATTTTTTTTTTGCGAATTTTCTGTTTTTTTTTTCTCGTACTTTCATCAATTTAGAGTTTACATCTTTAGATTTCTTCGTTTTTATTTTCAATTTGTTTTTTTAATTATCGATTTTTTTTCCAGATTTTTTAAAAATATTTTTGTGAATTTGCTTGAGTTTTCCCCTTAATTTCATCAACTTGCTTGAGTTTTTCTATTTGCTTCAATTTTATTCTATTTTAATTTCAGGTTTCTTTTTGCTAAATTGTGTGTTTTGAAATTAGGTTTTTGCATATTCATAGATTTAGATGATGTTGAGCATAATTCTCCTTCTTGCTCTGTTACTCATTCAGGTAATTTTAACTCTTTTTAATGCTTTAATTTCAATTTACTTACATGTTCTAAACTTTACTTACATGTTCTAAAGTTTCTTTACATTCTCTAAAGTTTTTATTCTATGTTCTAAAGTTTCCAGATATATTCTAAAGTTTACCTATGTTTATTTATATGTTCTAAAGTTTATTCACTTAATTCTAAAGTTTATTGTGTATTTGTCTATATTATAAAGTAATTCACTAGAGTATGTTCTAAATTTTTTCACTTTATTCTAAATTTTATTGTGTATGTTATAAAGTAATTCACTATGTTCTAAAGCAGTTTGTTATAGGTAAGTCCTTGATTTACTATGTTCTAAAGTTTATCCTTAATGTTCTAAAGTTTTCTATGTATTTCTCTCTTTTTGTTTTAATCATTCTAGATCTTTTCAATCTCAATATTTAATTCGAGCGTATTAGGGTAAGTTTATTACATAGTCTCAAAGATAATCTCAGGTTGAGAGTGTATGGTCTTGCATGAATCTTATAGGTTGTAGATGTTGTACATGTTATAATTGAGTCTGATTGTGGGTGATGAGAAGCACTTATACAGAGAAGGTAGCTGTTTTTAAGTAGAGTATAATTTGTTTGGCCGAGAAAAAGAGGTTTTATTGTCTTGAGGATATAATGTCATTATGTGGTTTATATCTTTTGTCTGCTTGCCTACATCCTAGACTGATTTTGTTTATAAGAGCATCTATTTTCTAAAGTTTATCTTTTTATGTTCTAATGTTTTCTCTTTGTGTTCTAAAGTTTATTTTATATGTTCTAAAGTTTTATATTTTATATGTTTTAAAGTTAAGCCAAGGTTCCTCGGGAATGTAGTGTAAATGTCTTATATTTTGAGAAAAAATTAATGGGGCCCTTCTGTTTGTAGTCATTGGCATAGAATCGCTATTATCATATCCACTTAGAACTTGTTACTTTAGTTTGCTAGTTTTAAGTTTATACGATGGATAAGAATATCATACTTCAAGAGATTAGTTCATATGGAAATTGGTTGGTTTGATGAGGCAGAGAATTCAAGGTGCCATAGGGCTATATGCTATCTAGCGATGCTACAAGAATAATGAGTGACTACGTTCTATGTAGTTTAGTGTAGTGTGTGTAAGTAAAGGTTTGGGTTCAAATGTTTATATATATTAGCCTACTAGCTCAATGGGTTGAGCATTGTGCAAAAGCACAAAAGATGTGGGTTCGAATTTGTAGGGAATATTTCAAGCGTTAACCCCTAGCTTGAACCCCACTGTGATCATACACTAAAGTACGGTGGCGTCCAAAAGGGAAGAAGATAGAGCAAAAGAGTCGCCAACAAGTTTTAGGAACTTGTAAACCGTTCACAAGGTGAAGGTTACACCCCTTAACGATCCAAGAGATTGTCAACTCCATAAGGTCTAGAACTAAATAAGGGTTCGGGGATGAAGGTACAAATCCAACCTAAAAGAGATTGAACCTGCCCTAATAATAGGCCTCTACTTTATTCAGATCGTATTCATGTGAGCTTTTTGACTAACATGCGATCAATAGGATTAACCCTAAATCTGTTTATCTATGTTGGTTGAATATAATGCACAAACAAATCTATTATTGGCGATCACTTGAATTATAATCAAATTAACCCTAAACAAGATTATTAATTATCTTATTAAGCGTGATTACAAGTACCAATTCCCTTAAAACATGCATAAAAAGGTGTGATCAAGCAATAACAGTAAATATCAAGCAACATAATAATAATAAATAATCAACATAAATAAAATAATCATCATAACAATAATCAAAATAATAATCATCATAATCATAATAATAATCATGTAATTATAACAATTATAATAACAGTTATAGCAATAATAAAATTATAATCACAATCAAAACAATTATAAAAAAATAATCATAAATCATGTTAAAGCATAATAAAAATAGCAAGATCTTAGGCATGATACTAACAAGATTAATAACAAACCCTAGCATGTCACTAAGCAATAAAAATCAAATCTTTAACCCTAACATGATACTAACAATCATAAATATTAGGAAGAACATAGGAAGCATCGCAGGAATCATAATAAGCATATTTGATATTATAACCTTTTCCCTAAACATGATACTAGGAATATCATAATAACAATTTAAACATGATTTCTACATCATAATATCAATAAAAACCATTAAAATACTTACTTTGATGCCTCATACCTAATTCTAATAACAAAATACACACGTTAGTAACTTCAAGGAAAATAATAAACAAAACAATTAAATTAAATAATTGAAATAGAGATTTGGGACCAAACCCTCAGAAATTAAACCTTTCACGTCTAGGGTGAAGGCAACTTCGAATATGGCTAGGTGTTTCTAGATCCAATGAATGCGGAATTTTGTATATAAAAGACTAGTTTAGAAAAAGGGAAAGAGAGAGATGAATGAATGATTAAGGAAATCTTGATGAGAATTAGCGAATGATTAAAGAGAATGAAAGAGAATTGAAAACTGGTTGTAGGTGAATATAGATGGATGTTGATGAGAATTGGTGAATGAAAACGGAGTTTTTAATACGTTATTTATAGAGAAAATCAGCCAAAAAGATAAAATTAACAAAACAGAGTCTGGCGCACGCAAAACGAGATTGGCGCCAGGCGCCAACGTTAGCGCCAGGCGCCAATGCCTGGCGTTAGGCGCCAATCCTGTTTTTTGACGCGTTTTCTAAAATCAGATAAATTTTGCCGTACAGGAGGATAAAATCGTATCTTTTCCTAAAAAATGTTCTTTGATTTTAATTAAAACTCTGAAAAGTCAACAAAAGTCAATTTATCAATGCTAATTGAATTAGGAATGAAAAGAATCTTCTAGAAGAATCTAAAACCATTCCTAATTGCATAAGGAATGATAAATCATATTAGGCCCTCCCTAGATCATTGGGCCGCATATAAGGCTCAAACCGGGTCCAGTTTGGTAATTTGGCCCTAGATCAATGCCTGCGTTAGGCGCCAATCCTGTTTTTTGACGCGTTTTCTAAAATCAGATAAATTTTGCCGTACAGGAGGATAAAATCGTATCTTTACCTAAAAAACGTTCTTTGATTTTAATTAAAACTCTAAAAAGTAAAAAAAAAAGTCAATTTATCAATTGTAATTGAATTAGGAATGAAAAGAACCTTCTAGAAGAATCTAAAACCATTCCTAATTGCATTAGGAATGATAAATCATATTAGGCCCTCCCCTAGATCATTGGGCCGTATATAAGGCTGAAACTGTGCCCAGTTTGGTAATTTGGCCATAACTTCCTCAATATTCATCGGAATTGGGCTTATAATATATCGTTGGAAAGCTCTTGCCAAGCCCCATCCAACTACACTACTATTGGACCCATATCATGGACCAACCAAACTGGATTGGCTTTTTTCTTAAAATAAGTTTTCAAAAACAGAGAGAAGAGAAAAGAAAATTAAAACTTTCCGCAACACTAAACTTTCCACACTTTCGCTTCATTCGATTATGATTCGACGTGAAAGGTACTCATCACCGGGTTTGGTTTTGGGGAGACACAAATGGGTGTCTACAAAAGCCCCCACTTTGACTGAGTTTGGAGAAACGCAAGTTTCGAAAACAAAAGTCAAAGTATCGATAAGGACAGAGAATGATTCAGAACGTTCTGCGATCCTAAATCATTCTTGTAACGCCGATACCTGCAAACTAGCGTTAGTTAAAACAGATAAAAGAGTTAAAAAAACGCGTATCTTGCACCGTCGGGCACACGTTTATGAAAGTAACCGATTGTTTTGATGACCTCCTGCAAGCTAGAGAATTCCATCCCGCTTAAAAACCGCTACGCCTGTAACTGCTTCCAAATTAGAAGATCGCTTCGCCTGAAACGATCCTCCTCCGCTTTGATATTATTCCACGTCCAAGGGAATATCATCGAAGATTGTTTCACTTGAAACAATCCTCAGTTGTTTGTGACAACTCACCACAATCTAGGGAATGACATCTTGCTGTTTCGATGTTCACTCGTCTCTGAACAAAGTGCTTCTTTTTTCCTTTTTTTTTTTATAATATGTCCACGCGTCTCTAAACTATAGAGCTTTTTTATTATGATATGCCCACGCGTCTCTGGAGCAGAAGAGCTTGATGGAAATGTTCACGCGTCTCTGAACAAAAGAGCTTGAATAATATGCCCACGCGTCTCTGGAGTAGAAGAGCTTGATGAAGATGTTCACACGTCTCTGAACAAAAAGAGCTTGAATAATATAATGATATGCCCACGCGCCTCTGGAGAAAAAGAGCTTTGATGAAATGTCCATGCGTCTCTGAACAAAAGAGCTTTGATGATTTGCCACGCGTCTCTGGAGCAAAAGAGCTTTTGAAAGGAATGTCCACGCGTCTCTTAGCAAAAGAGCTTGTAGGAAATGTCCACGCGTCTCTGAACAAAAGATCTTGAAAAGGATTGTCCACGTGTCTCTGAACAAAAGAGCCTTGATGTTATGCCCACGCGTCCTTGAACAAAGAGCTTGATGGAAATGTTCACGCGTCTCTGAACAAAAGAGCTTTGATGATATGTCCACGCGTCTCTGGAGCAAAGAGCTTTGATGTAGATGTCCACGCGTCTCTGAACAATAGAGCTTCGGTACTTAAGCGTTTGTTGCAATAGTATTCTGAAGAAAAATTTCCGAAGACCAACGTTTGTCGATCTCTAAAGCTCGCCTGAACTTTGCTTCTGCTAAAACCAGTACGTCGGTGTTTCTGTGATGAGCCAATTCTTAGGCGCTTTAAGCTAAGTGAGACGATCTTTCATCAGGTCGACCACTTATTGTGATTGTAATCAAACTGACTACGTGATCAAGTCAAATTGCTTATAGGGGCTAACTGGCGTACCAAGGAACCCGAAATTGATGTATGAGGTCGAAATCACCTTTCTGAGAGGCTTCGAGCTCTGTCACTGCTGAAATATCTCTGGTGCCAGGAATTGGAGTAGGGTCCTCCCTATTTTGCTGCACCTGTATTTATTTTTTACTATAGAACTTTGCCAATCTCTTTAATTATCTTAGGGTTGACCTAAGGTTTAGCATTGTTTGACTTATTAACTTGACACGACTCAAGGCATAAACTTGACTCACTATGATTGACTGACTCGAGGTTGACTCGACTCGAAGTGAAATGACACATGTGACTCATGACCCGTGTGTGAATAGTGTTGAGATCGTGGGACTCGAAAATGCAAAAAAGAAAAAATTTCCCGTCATTTTTATGGAGGGTACCGACTTTCTCCCGAAAAAGAAAGACGCGAAAAAGAATCGAAGTTTTGAAGGTGCATGTTGAATGAGCTTAGTCAAATGTCATTTGATATTATCTCTCGAGGTGCAAGGATTATTAATCCATCCTAGGCTATCTCAACTGTTGACTCAATGATGAAAGTATTTAGATAACTTAGGCACGGAGGCTAAGCACTTCATACTTCGTGATGCAATGACAATTATGATTGATGAGTGAATTGACAAGGCATGCTTCAGCGTTGTGTTAAGATTCCATGACAAAGGGTTCCTAAGGGAAGTATATTTGGTCATGTATGTGTGATGTGTGTGATAGTGACACTAAAGTTAGGCCGCAAGAGCTAAGTGTGTGGGAAAAATATATTGAAAAGAGTCAAATGGTGGTGACTCTTAGGCTAGGTAAGCTAATGATGTAGGGATCAAGCCCCCCAAGTCTAACTCTAAGTGAATAAGGATGAGCATTGGAGATCCCTTGATATGATCATGGTGCAAGCTAAGTGTGTGAATGTGAATATGAATGCATGTTTATTACGGTCTCACCTCGATGTGAGGTTGCCTACGTATCCGTTAGGAATCAGGCCGAACATAGCTCTAACCGAACCTCGCACAAGTGTGTATACCTCAAAAAGGTCTTTTTAAGGGTTGTAACGTGGTTAGGCTAAAGGTTTGAAGAAGAAGGGGATAAAGGCTCAAGACCCTAGATAAGCCCCTAAGGTGTGCAACCTCGCTTTTGAATCTTTATATTTTTATGCTTGAGTTTCTACTCTTTTTTAGCTCTCTTTTATCTTTTGCTTTAGCATCTATTTTATTTTTATAAGTGTGGAAAATCCCGATCATGCGGTCTATCACTCACTTGGCATTCATGTTTCTCAGGCACGGTACCGATCACTCGATAAGAAATGCAATCCGAGACGTGTTCATATCAAAGTTATTTTCATATCAAAGACATAGGAACACATCCCCTTTTGTACACTTTTATTTATTTTTCTTATTTTTGCTATTTTAATGTTTTGAATTACTCAAGCTCTTTTTTAGAATTGCATAAGTTACACACCATCCCATCCCAAGGTTAGGTAGATGTAGGTTGAAGAAAGAAGGGTCTATCGTTAGACGAGGCTCAAAGTGGTTTATGAAGAAAGGATGTATAATTGAAGGGTGAAAGGTAATATAATGTGGCTACAAGGGGTGCCTTAAATCATTGGTACCTTGTGCTTAATTCGACATGGATTTGTTTTTTTTTTAATGCAATATAATGAAATGATCATATGTAAGGAAATAAATGCTCCTTTTATTAAAGGAAAAGAAATAATGATCCTACAAAATAAATCTAAGGAGAATAAAAAGGTGCCTATGCTAGACTTATTGGGGAAAGGGTAAATAAAAAAGAAATAGAAAAAAGAGGTCACGAATCTTGTCGTTGAAGCTCGCCTCTTGTCTTGTATTGTTTGCTTTATCATCACTCGCTTTTCTTGTAAACTGGAAGGTATGGGAAGCTTGTTGTTATCAATCAAATGTTGGATATCCTCCTTTAGCTTCCAACAGCTCTCAGTAGCATGACCCCTACCTTGATGGTACTTGCAGCGTTCGTTTGGATTCCAACTAGGCACTCTCTTCCCAGGCGGGGGATCTTGAAGAGGTCCAATAGGAGTAATGATTCCCTTGGCATGGAGTCGATCGAAAGCATCATCGTAGCTAATTCCAATAGGGGTAAATTCCCTTTTTTGTTGCTTTCGATTACCCATGGCTAGGATCTCACTAAGGTTGAAAGTACCAACACTATTACTAGAATGGTATTTTCGAAAGAAGAAGGATAGTCGTTCTTCTTCCCTTTGTTACTAATCTTGGCCTTCTTGTCGTGCGGAGGAACATGAAGGAGATTTGAATCACTGAAGTCTTGAACACGATCCTTGAGGGTGAGGCCCTTTTCAGTAGTGTGACCGCGACTTCTATGGTATCGACAATAGGAATTTGGATCCCAATTGGGAAAACGTTTTTCAGATGGAGGGTCTTGACTGGGACCAATGGAGTGAATATGACCTTGATCATGTGGACAGTCAAAAGCTTCATTGTAAGTCGTTCCTATTGGTGTGTATCTTTCAATGGTCCGTTTTGCCCGCGGCTTAGGAGCATTGAGTTCTTCATTAAACTCTTGGCGAGAATTTTGTTCAACAGCCATCACCCGGTTTGCTAATCCTTCTACCACATTCAAGAGCATGGCAATGACATCTTGCAATTTTCAAACGTCCTCTCTTAGACTTGACGAGTCTTCCCTGGTATTATCTAAGAAAAGACTTTCATCCTCCCCAATCATGGCCATCTCATCGAGAGAGGTTATATAAGTTGTCTCGATCATGGGCTCTCCTACAGGTGTGATAAGAAGTGATGGATCGAAGGATGCTTGGTCATCTTTGATGGCTAGAATCTCGGAAGTTTCATTTTTATTATTGATCAGATCTTGAATAACTTCTTTGAGTTTCCAACACTCCTCAGTGTCGTGACCCTTTCCTTGGTGATATTTGCAGTGTTTGTTAGGGTCCCACTTAGGTGGCCTGGCTTCTGGAACTGGATCTTTGATAGGCCCTATGGGCATGACTAGTCCTTTGTGATGTAGCTTCTCGAAAGCCATTTCATAACTCATACCAAGTGGAGTGAACACTCTTTTTACCTTTGGATTCGCGATTTAGAGGTGTTCGTGGTATGTACTTCATTAATGGGAGAGGAAGAAGAAGGATGGTCATACTTCTTTCCTCTCGCACCATTATCTTTTAGAAGGTCATCTTCAATGTCAATGCCTATATTATAGACGACTTTGAAAGTATTTAAGTTGTGTTGATATATTAAGTGCTTTGAATACTTTTCTTGGAGATTCTTGATAAACATCCTCACAGACTCCATTTCGGTGGGGACCTCAATCATCTTGGCGGAAGTTTCCCTCCATTTATTAAAGAAAAAAGTAAAGCCTTCATTCTCTTTTTGTCTTAGCATCTCAAGTTGTCTATGGTCGGTTTAAACTTGGATATTGCACTTGTACCTATCAACGAAAGCGTTCACTAACGATTCCCAGGTAGATGTTTTCTCCTTGTCGAGGGAGAAGAACCATTGTTGGCAAACGGTTTCAAGAGATAGTGGGAACAGAGAGGGGAAAACCTTCTTATCGATACCCTTAATGTTCATTATAGTTTCGAAAGCTCTTAGATGAAAATAAGGGTTATCTGTTGCCTTGAATTTAGGGATGTCAGTGGCGTTTAACTTATGCGGAATAAGTTCCTTGTCCAGCGAGACCCTTGTGAACTCATGCCCTGAAATTTATAGTCACTAGATAGCTTGCTTAGACTCTCTTGCATGAGGTCCATCTGTTGTTGCTTCACGGGATCATTGATCTTGAGTGTGAGTAGCTTCAGTGTCTTAGTCACGGTAACTAATTGGTTCCTAAGCTCATTGACTTCTTCTTGAGTTGCCATTATCTTCTTAGCCTTCCTCTTTTGACGAATCAGTTTATCAAAAAGTGAGACTTGAAAAAAGGTGTTGTCCTTGACTAATCGCCCTTCTCTCCTTGACCAAGTACTGTGGAAAAGGAATTTGGGGATATTCATTGTTAATTGTTTGACTCAAGCTTTATTCAACATGTAATGGATGGAGGAAGTGAAGGAAGATTGGAATAGAATGTGAAAGAAGATTTAGATGGAGGGATATGAAGAATTAGGAATAGAATGTACCCCAACTCAAATGACGGAAAAGACCGACTCATGCATGAACCTAAGACATGGTCATGGTGACATATACTCAAAGTGTGTGTTGAGACTAGTGAGTGTAGGTGGTACTTTAAGACTCGTGTCATGACCATGTGGCTAGACTATGTGACTAGACTCAATTAACGACTTGAAAAGGTGTGATTGACAGCGAAAATTAACTGAATTAATTAGCAAACTGGTTAATTAGACTCTAGGTGATGACTCGACCAATAATCCGAACTGTCGGCCAAACGACAGGACTGGCGTCACACTGTGTAGCTTGACGCCAGACGACAGAGCTGTCGCCAGGCGCCACACTCCCTAGTGTGGCGCTACAGCTCATACTTTGGCGCCAATATTGGAGCTTCAATTTAGGACTGTTTTCGGTGTTATTAATCAACTAGGGTATGCCTAAAGTCATACTAGGTCAATTCCGATTAAAATATTACTTTTTTTACTCAAATTAATTAATTAATTAATTAATTAGGCAAAGTTCTTTAAGTCATTAATTTATTTAATCTCAACACAAGTCAAACAAACGGTTAAGAGAAACATAGATCATTTGCACAACAAATAATGCACAATTAGTCAAGTAGGCACAATATGATGCAATGAGTTCGCAACCTAAGCATGGCTCTAGTTCTCTAAAGTTCGGGATATGGTTTAGTCAATAGAGGATCCATGGTTAATTGTCCGGATGCACCGCGCGGAATCCTAACCGTGAAGGGTTGGCGCGAGTGGATGGGACACCTCGAGCTTTAGAAAAAACTCGCTTCCATGGTTTGGTGAATTCAACATTCTCGGATGTACCCTTTGTTGCACAGAGCGTTCAATCAGGTAGATGGAGCATGAATTCCCAGAGGGTTATGTCCATATGTAGAACACATATGGGTTTCAGAATAGTGAGAAAAAATTCAATTAGGAAGTAGGATCGAGTAAACAATACAAAAAACCGGTCGAAATTAGAATGCATATTTCTGGCTGGGTATTGGGGGAGGTTGGCACCAGCAAACAGAGACACAGCTAAATCCTGGCGCCAATGTTGGCGTCTAGCGCTACAGTTGAATGCCTAGCGCCAATGCTCTGGTCATTGACGCTACTTCCCACATGCCTCAGCAGCTTTCTGTGCTCGATAAGATTTTCCAGTTTCGCGCGGTGTTATTTCGGTCCTAGTTGTGAAAGATATTTCTCAAGTTTCCTACGTGTAAAATCCTATGTTTTTAACTCATTACGGATGGTCTTTCCCATGAGATCTTTTTTATGCATATGACAATAATGTTAATCAAAATTACGCACATGAAATACTTAGAACGTTTCGAGTCTCATCCACTCATTCTAAATCATTGCCGAAACAAATTCAGGAATTAAAATAGAAATCCTCCCCAGTGGAGTCGCCAAAAACTGTAGGGAATATTCCAAGCTTTAACCCCTAGCTTGAACCCCACTGTGATCATACACTAAGGGAAGAAGATAGAGCAAAAGAGTTGCCAACAAGTTTTAGGAACTTGTAAACCATTCACAGGGTTAAGGTTACACCCCTTAACAATCCAAGAGATCGTCAATTCCATAAGGTCTAGAACCAAATAAGGGTTTGGGGATGAAGTTACAAATCCAACCTAAAAGAGACTGAACCTGCCCTAATAATAGGCCTCTACTTTATTCTTATCGTATTCATGTGCGCTTTTTGACTAACATGCGATTAATAGGATTAACCCTAACCCTGTTTATCTATGTTGGTTGAATATAATGCACAAACAAATCTATTATTGGAGATCACTTGAATTATAATCAAATTAACCCTAAACAAGATTATTAATTATCTTATTAAGCGTGATTACAAGTATCAATTCCCTTTAAACATGCATAAAAAGGTGTGATCAAGCAATAACAATAAATATCAAGCAACATAATAATAAAAAATAATCATCATAAATAAAATAATCATCATATCAATAATCAAAATAATAATCATCATAATCATAATAATAATCATGTAATTATAATAATTATAATAACAATTATAGCAATAATAAATTATAATCACAATCAAAACAGTTATAAAAAAATAATCATAAATCATGTTAAAGCATAATAAAAGTAGCAAGATCCTAGGCATGATACTAACAAGATTAATAACAAACCCTAGCATGTCACTAAGCAATAAAAATCAAATCTTTAACCCTAACATGATACTAACAATCATAAATATTAGGAAGAACACAGTAA